GGTAAAAATGAAAATTAGCATATATGAGGTGGTTGTGCCAATACTGCTATATACGTCAGAATGTTGGAGTATGAGGAAGGTTGCTAAATGAAAGATACTGACTGCAGAAATGAACTGGCTGAGGGGAATACTGAGAATTTCAAGACTGCAGAAAATAATAAATGAAGTGATAAGAAAACAGGGCAAGAAGTAACGCTGTTACAGAAGATTCAAGAAAAACTGCAGTGTTTTGGACATGTGCCAGTGATGCATCTAGGGAGGATACCGTACATGACAATTCATATCAGAGGGTAAGAAACTAGAAATAGAGGAAGAGCGAGTGTGCATTGGATAGACACGGTAAAGAATGACACAGAACAAAAAATTTTAAAGATGAACAGAGACGTGAAGCTGGTACAAGACAAAGTGGTAGAAAGACTTCAGTCAGCCTCATTGTCGCTGCTGAGCTGATGGGTGGGAATCAAAGATGTAATAGTAGGACTTGTATCCCCCCTTTAGGTCAGGAACTCTAGTGCAAACACTTGAGCACGTTTAATCTGTCCAGCAGAGAGCAGTATGCTACATGTAGTTTGTATTTGGAATTACTTCTACTTCTGTCATTGCTTGACTGAATGCCTCTTTGTTTTCTAAAGCTCTTAAACAATATAATTATATTCTCCCCTCAGTCCTGGTATTTAACTTTTACAAATTAATCAGTTGCTCTTAGTACTTTCTTTGCTTCTCTATTGTGATATAAATGTTTTTCATGTTCATGTTGCTGCATTTGAATTTCTCCTTAAAAATTTGTGCTGTGACTGGAAGGTGATGCTAGTATTGCTACTGAGTCGAATTTCAAATAGAAAACAGTTGCACTAATTTCCTATGCTGATTGCCCCCTGGCAGCAGCTATATTCCAGCATATGTGCTGTAACTAAAATGTCCCTTCCCTGCTGGACTCATGATTAGTGTTAGATGTTAGACCAGTCTAAGTTGGAGTTACTTGTATTATGGTGGGTCTTATCATTGGCTGGTTGTGTTTTATACAGTAGTGTTGCAGCAAACACTTGAAAAGGATGTGTCAAGGTATTGATTATTGTGGAGATAGAAAGATTGGGTCATGGAGATCAGATGTTGGGTGTCTTTTCAGTCACCTCTCCCTTAAGTGCTCTCTAACCACCCTAGTCTTGGTAGCAGATGAGCTGCAATATCCTACTCCAAAAGGGGTGAAGTCTGGGCTTGGAGTTGTATGGAAGCAGGGCTGGCTCTAGGCATCAGCTTAACAAGCAGGTGCTTGGGGCCGCCAAGGGAGAGGGGCGGCACCTGCGGCAATTCGGGGGCGGCAGGTCCCTCACTCCCTCTAGGAGTGAAGGACCTGTCGCTGAACTGCTGCCGCCGATCGCAGCTTTCTTTTTCTTTTTTTTTTTCCCCCAATTGCCGCCGGCAATCGCGGCTTTTTTTTTTGCTTGGGGCGGCAGAAATGCTGGAGCCGGCCATGTATGGAAGGAAGGTGATCACTTTCTTTTTGATTAGGGGATCTTGATTCACACGGGGATTGCATGGGGGGGAAAGGTAGTATTTTTCATTTTATTTCTTTGTCACTTTTGGGAAATATTCAAGGTCCCCATGTACTCTGCGGTAAACTGGACTTAATTCTGCAGCATGGTCCTTGGTTTCTATGGCACTTTGGTGCAACAGACTGGAAATTCTGCGGCAGCCTCAGGTAAATTCAAAATTGGAGGTTTTTAATTAATCAGATATGAAAATGAATAATACAATCAGTACAGCATTGCTTATAGTGTTTGATTTGATATTAAAATCAAGTAATTTACCTTTCCCATAAATGTTAAATTTGCTGCAGATTTTTGTAATGATAATGCATAACTGCTGTGAACTTTTTTTTCCAGAGGTGGTGGGGGCTGGATGCCTTGGCAGTTGGATAGGAGACTGTTGGAACTTTTGACACCAGAGAAGGTGTGGGAGGTGGTTTAGGATTGCGGAATTAATGACAACTTTTTGTTCAGTCTCACATCATTAGAGAGCTTGGAATAGCTGCAGTGTGCAGTTTGCTCTGCAGTATCTTCAGTTTCTCATCTTAGGCTGATCATGGTTTCAAACATCCAAGTAGACGGCATCTTTTCTAGACAGATTTGAGATTTCATGGTCATCGTGACACCCATAAACCTAGCCCAGGTGTTTTTAGCTCACATGTGTGCTTTTTGGGATGGAGGGTCTGTTCCATTGTTTAGCCAATGGAGAGTGATTGAGCTAAATGGCTTTCAGAGCTCTCTGTGTTGGCTAACTCTGTTGTTGGTCAAGTAGGTCATCGTAGTGTGCCCTTTAATATCAGTACAGTGGTTCCAAAATTTTCTCTGAATTATCTTCTTAGGTCTTGTTGGAATACAGACAACTTGTGGCACTGCTTAGAGTGCTCTTCACTGGGTTACACATAGTGTGTTTAGAATCTTCTCCCATCACTCTAAAGGACGTGAAGAGTTATTCCTCCTTCCCTCCCCATAGTGTGTACAAAGCCATGACATCTGAGAGTGGTTATTGACTGGTGTGTAGGTTGGTGAATCCTAGCTCCCTACACTCAGTTTCTCATGAATAGTTTTCTGTCTACATAATGGACAAATAGAATTGAGACAAGATTAACTCCTTTTAGGGGGCAGATGCAAAATCTTCTTTGCGTGCAGTTTTGGCCAGTCTAACTTTCTGAGGTACTAAGGGAGCTTCTATATTTGAGTGAGAGCCAGGCCCCTCATAGTTAGTAAAATCAAGTTGGGAGTGATGTTAGGTCTTTTTGTGGCAGGGCTGAAGGGCCTTCCAGGGTTGAGATCATCTGCTACCACAAATGTAAAAAGGAAGGGACACAGTTTAAGTTTGGTATAGTTAGAGATGTAACCAAAACATGTACCTTAGAGCTCCAGTATGTGTTAAATCCACAGCCAGGCTTTCTCTCTCTCCTATTTACTCCACTTCGTAGGACATAAAATGTCTTGTTCTTCGAGTATGTGTCAGTGTGGAGCCCACTCTATATGTGCATGCCCCTCAAGGATGTGAGATCAGAATCTTTGAACAGCAGTGTCCATTGGGCCATGCCTGCACCCCCACCAGTCCTCATCCCCACTCCCCCATAAGGGCATAAAGGTCAGCAGAGTGGCCAGAACCATCCCTCAGTTCTCTCTTACTGCCTGTGGCAGCAAGAGAGAACCAGGCTCTATATGCCTGCTACCCTTTAGCTAATAACAAGTAAAGAGAGGAAATACTCTAGGTAGGACACTAGGGTTAATTCTCTTCAGGAAATTCTTTTAATTTTCTTGCAAACCTTCTTCCTTGACACCCCCAGAATTATTTATTATTCAGTACTCTTCACCACAACCACTATCTTGGTGACTTCAAACCCTGTCCATCTCACAAATGACACATTCTCCTCACAGATGGAGGTAACCATGGTCTGTTCTGCTTAAGTGAAAGCCGTATGACTGACCATTGCACTGTCTGCCAGTCTTTCTCATCAAAAATGAGAAAATCTGGAGACACTGGACTAAAACTATTTCTGTTGGAGCAGTCTGTGAGGGGCACTTTGGACCCAGAAGAATAGGCATCAGGCTGCAAGACGAGACCTTGTACCTCCAAGTCCAGTTAGTTAGAGCCCTTGTGAGCTGTGTTGCGACTCCTAAAGCAAATTCCAGTAAGACAGCTGACACTGTATTGATTGGCCGTCCATGACTGTCCAAGTCAGCTTATCGCTGATGGGTGCTCCAGCACCAAAAGCCTGTGATGTATCCTTCACTTGGAACCAAGGTAGACCAGAACACCAAACGGGCCATGGTTCCTAGCACCGGTGCTTTTACCTCCCGTAAAAAGGGAAAAGCTCAGAGGCCTAAGAAAAGAGCATTTGCCTTCAGTCTCCTCCTGGGAATTTGGCAGAAAGTCCTTTCATAATACAGGGCAAGTGACATGGTATCGATTCCTGGCCCAGTACCAAAACAACCCTTGTACCTACTACCAATACCTTGGCACTGGCACTCAAAGCCCTAATGGATCCGGCAGACCAACTATTGTTGGAAGTCACTGCTTCTCTGGTATTGTCCTCTGTACTGAGGACCTTACTGTTGACACTAACTCTGATGTCTAAATTCTCAGTACTGACAGTACCCCAGAGGTCAGCACTACCTTTAGTGGAAATCTACTCCTTTTCTTCCCTGTCTGGGCCGCACCTTTTCCCTCCGACTAGCCTAGAGCCTTCCCCTTTCCCCACCCTCCCCCCCATTCACTGAGATCAGTTCACCCTCTCATTTTGGAGCCCCAGCTTACCCATCACTTTCATGACACTGGCTTTAACAATGCTACCCTTAAAATTTTTCACCATGGGCTGAGTCAAAGCCCATTCCAGTCAGTAGGAATTTTTGTCATTCGCTTCATTGTGCTCCATTGACTGGCGTGGACTTTGGATCAGGTCCACATCATGGGACGATCATATAAAATATTTTTGATGATCATAATGAATTATTGATTCAGACAAGATACTTTTCACTAGAAATTCAAATAGACTTACATTTGTGTATGTGATTCTGCTTACAGTATTACTTGTGATTTTCTTAGCCTGCTGTATACCCACACAATTGTTTTTATATATTTATATAAATACAGTAGAACTTCGATTTTACTAAAACCAGCCATACCAAATGACCAGTTACATAAATCATTTTTCCAGAAAGGGGGGCGGGGGGAATCACATAATGAAAGTCAATGAACAAGTTGATATCTCTTCACATTCCAGTTTCTTCAGTGGATCGGAAGTATCTTTTACAGTGCTGTAAAGAACAAGACGACGACGATGCAGTGCACCATACTGCAATTTATGCACCATACCTACTGTAATTTTGAGATGTACAATTTTTTGAACATTTCAATTTTATAAACTTCAGTCCCCAATTAGTTTGTAAAATTAGAGGTTCTACCGTATCTTAAATTCAGTGGCTTTATATATTTTAATTTCTCTCTCTTCCATCAAACAGATAAGCAATCTGAAGAAAATTTTAAAAGGAATATTGGATTACAATCATGAGGTAAGAACTATTTCTCAGTGCTTTCCTTTTGCTGAATCTATTCATTATGCTTGTTGAACATGTTACAGATTATGGATTTGTTTAGCATTCGGTCCAGATATATCACAAGCGCTCAGCACCCAGCAGCTCCCATTGTAGCCGAGCTCTTTCAAAAAAATCTGACCCATCCATCATGAAATGAATTTTTTTTTCTAAATAGCCATTCTGTATCTTATCCGCTCTTCATACTCTTTAAACCTGTCCTACCAAAAGTAATCAACTCATCATGGACTATCCTTGAGTACTAGACCTCTCCAAAGCTTTATTGTGTGTTTCATCGAATATTCCACTAAGGAACAAACCCAGCTTGAAACTAAAACCCCTAATAGTCTTAAGCATCTTGACATGAAAATAGTAGATGCCCTGGGTGACTCCATAGTGGAGTTGAATGCATAAAAAATAAAGCTGGTCTGTCTGACTTTCTCCTCTGCCCGTAGTAAAGACTATCTCTTTCATTTTTTCTGTGGGGAAAATACTCAGTTGAGGTGGGGAGAGAAGAGTTTATTAAAAGTTTTAATTTCGGACTGTTAGAGAGCTACTATTGTGGCCTGTGTGTTCTATGGAGAAGCTCTTGTGCTGCTTGTCTCCAAGACTGCACTCCATGGGAAGGAAAACGAGATATATTTGTTCCCTGCTATGTGCTGAGGTAGCTGGTGCATTAAGAATGCAGTGAAACAGACACAGTATGGGATACTCCCATAGAGAGACTCCATACTCCAAGCACTTGTTTTCTGTCTGAACAGTATAAATATTCTGGAGAGGAGGAAGATAATCCATTTGCTAAGACTCTTTGGGGGCAACATTTTCAAAAATCGGTGCCTAAAGTTAGTCTCCCAAATCCAAACTTAATAAATTGACTGATTTTCAAAAGTTCTGAGTATCACATTAAAGTTAGCTCACGTTAAAGTCTCAGGAGGGTGGGAATTGAGAACTCTGGTGTTTCTGAGCAAACATGTCAAGTCCTGTTAGCTGCTCAGAATGAATCTATCAGAAAGACATACATACCTTTTTCTTGGGAATTGTTTATCTGCTATGTAAAGACCCCATATGGATCCTTTCCCACATCCTGCATACACCCTGCTTGCTACTTTCACTTGTCAATCTGGGTTTAAAAAAATCTTCTCTTGCACTTCATTCGGCAGATATTTCTTTCGTGGCCATGTTAAAGGAAGAGCAGTTAGTCTACAGCCTCTGGGTTTGTGAGAGCTTGATGCATTATAAAAGTTCTTTATATCCTAGAAGACCAACGTTGTCATTGCAAAATGATGTCAGCTCCTTTTTAAGCCACTAACTGTGTAAGTTTGTTTCTGACATGGTAAATTTATTATTTTAGAAAGTCAGTGGCTTGATTTCAGAAAATGACTGAGCTTCACGCTTCAGTGACTGATTCATTAAATACGAAATTCTTCAAAGATAAGATGCATCTGTGAAACATCCCAGATTGCTTCCAAAAGTGATGGAGATCCACTTAAATTTGTCAGTTGTCCTGCCTACATTTTTCTCATCTGAGAGCCCATCCTGGCAAAGTCCTTCTGCACAAGCTAGATGTGAAAAGATTAGGCTTTTACCTAGCATGGACAAAAGCCTGGGAGAATTAGGGCACTTTTTTTGTTTCATTTTACAGTAACTCAATAGTTTATGGCGTATCCAAGGGCATTCTAATGGCTGTAATACAGCATCCTGCACTATTACAGCCTCGCAGGAGAACAAGTTGAAGATCCTGTCCAGGAGCCTGTGTACTTTATGGTCTCCACAGAAGTTGCCGTAGACTGTTCCTCTTCCCACAGAATTCTGCTCTAAAATCTAAGCTTCCGCTGTTTTCCTTGAAGTTTCTAGTATTTGTGCAAAGAAGACTTTTCAGCTGTCAGAGTCCAAACCAATATGGCGGTTGTTTCCTGAGGCTGCTAAATCCTAAAATAGCTATGACTCGTTCCTTTTTCATCCCAGTGGGGTATTGACACTGGAGCCTAATTTTAACATAACATATTTTACCAGAAATATCCAGCTAACACGTTTGTTTCACAATCCCAAACCCATGTCCTCATAGTGCCAAATGACATATCTCCTACCCAGCTTCCCTAACAG